GGAGGCCACGTCCCTGCAACTCTTCAAGAAAAGCTTGGATAATTATTTGCGTTTCCTGTTTTCCCTCGACAGTCTGAATCTGAACTTATACGTCTTGACCCCGCAAATATTTTCCCTCACAGAATACCACTCCAATGAATTCAGTACTGTTTTAGTAGCGAATATTTTTATTGTTCTTGTAAAGTTATTTCTAACGAGCTGACATGTAATCAATAGGGTTTTAAAAGGCTTTGTCTATTATCCTTACCAAATACACTGAATAAACCGAACTGAATTAACTACAGACCAATCAGCTTTAATTCCTTTTATTGCGAAATTATAGAAAAATTAATTAAGCGAGAAATAAGAATAATAATTTTATTTAATGCCAGTTTGCTGGCATTGTCTGGGAAACGTTAAACACAGTTCCGGCCAGCGGTGGAAAAAACCCTGTCGAAAAGGAATAAAAATAAAGTTGATGGGAGTTTTAATGGGCTGGAGGGTTCAGGAGTTAAAACTGCTGACCGCAAAATGCCGACAGTCAAGAACGGAGGAGTTGCACGGTATCGGATATTATCAGTCGCCAACTCTTTTCATGAAGTTGAGGCTGGTCCAAACAGAAGCGTCGAAGAACAGCTGTCGTTGTGGGTTAAAGAATTTGCCCTGATGAGACCGGCCTTAGTGATCAGAGCCCACAAACGCCATCGCGACGGTATAGTCCACCAGTGGATTCAGCACCCAGAATTTGTGGATCTTTTTTGAATGCAAAAATCGAGTAACAGTTCTCTTATATAAAGGATAATTTTGCAGAGTTTTCACATTCCAGTGTAGTTTATTCCAAATGGCAATTGTATTTACAGAAAAGAACCGGCGGTATTTAACAGTACGTGCCGGAGGAAGAAATAAAAAGACCTCACGTTTACTATTACGTCGGGGGTTGACGAGATGTCTTAACGTAGTGAGTCGGTTAAAGGTACAATTATAAAAAGCTTAAATAGCAAAAATAGTCCCTTTTGTAATCTACGGAACCATAAAGGATCAAGGCCCGTAAGCCGGCAACGTTCTTGGTAAGACAAATGTCGGTGTTCCGCGGCTAAAATTGTCTTGGTAAAAAAGTGTTGGATGGATTCTATTTTCTTCCGCCTGGCAGCACACATGAGGCTAAATAAAAAGGAATAGTATTTTAGGCCAGGACTAACCTACATGTTATAAAGGCGCATTCTAAGGTCGCAAGTTTAAAAGTTTCGTAGGATAAACCCGGTCGTTCTACGTGCTTTGGAGACTATCAAGGCACAGTGCTCCGAAAGATTGAGGGTCCTGGAGTTTGATACACCCAGATCCTTAATAATCCCAGGCACATTAAAGGTGTGACCATCAATGCTTAGTTGAGATTGGTGGTCGTCGCCGACCACCATGACTGAGCACTTATGCCAAGAAAGAGAAAGGCGCCATGTGCGACGCCACTGGGCAAAGACCTGAAGGTTGCTCTTTAGGAACTCGAGCACGATGTGACGAGCTGCCGGTTTATATCGATATGCAACTTTCAGATCATCGACATACATGAAGGGCTTACCATTCTGAAATACATCGGGTACATAGTTAACAAAAAGGCAAAATAGAAGCGGACCGATTACACTGCGCTGAATGACTTCATTCCTCGCACATGTGGCGTTGGAGATAGCACGGGAAATCTTAACTCGTTGTGTA